AGACAGGCCTCTTAGCTATTTGGGTTTTTTTAACACCATGTATAGTCAACCCCTGAAACTCACTGATGGAAGATATTAGTGAGGCCAAGAGCTTAGCAAGGTTTTTAATAGGGTGACTAGTAATAGAGAGGTAGCCGTGTTAGTCTGATCTTGCTAAAACAAAAGGAAAAACTATGTAGCACTGTAAAGACTAACAAGATGGTTTAATAGGTGATGAGCTTTCGTGGGCCAGACCCAGTTGATATGATCTGAGAAAATGGGTCTGGCCCACAAAAACTCATCAGCTATTAAACCACCTTGTTAGTCTTTAAAGTGCTACACAGTTTTCCTTTTGTTTTAATAGGGTGAGGCCTCTTTATGGACCAGAATGTTAACCACAGTTACATAAGCTGGGATCAGAATCGCCCGCTTTTCCGTACTGCAGGAGCAGGAAACTGCCTGGGTTTTTTCATACCTTGGAGACTGCAGTGTCTCTTGTGAAGTGCTGGCGGCGCGTGTGGATTTTTACTGCACATCTCAGCAATTTTGATGTTTTCGCTTTCAGTCCCAGCTCCTGGAATCATGTGATTTGGGGGAGCAGGGCAGGTTTGATTGAAATACAAATGAAGTGACCAGCCCTGTTCCCCGAGAGGTGTTAAGAACAAACGAGCAACCAACCAACTCAGTTCTGTACAACCGCGTGGGATTCATTGGGATCAAAGTCCCGAAGCCCTTATTTCAGGCAGGCATCGGTGGGTGCAGGAGACAGGGGGGAGGAGGGGAGAGGAGGCGGTGGAAGATCCCCGTGCACATGGCAGGGGGGGCAGGCATCGGTGGGTGCAGGAGACGGGGGGAGGACGGGGGAGGAGGTGGTGGAAGATCCCCGTGCACATGGCAGGGGGTGAAAAGCGAGTGCTCACGTACTACAGAGATCAGAGTGGTCTAAGGACCCACGCAGAAGACAGAGAGCTGCCCCTCTCTGCAACACTGCCCCCTCAGTTCCCATTAGCCACCGTTCCCTGGTCCCAGCCAATGGGAGCTGCAGGGGGGCCGTGGCCTCATGGGTAAGCTGGCGGCCTGGGGCCAGGGCAAGAAGGGAGTCGGCCTTCGTGGCATCCCCATTCCACCACCCAAGAGCGCAACTGACTGGGAGAGTCCTCGGTATTGACCAGCCGATTGGGGGTCACCCCGAATTCGGGGAGTATCTCACTTAACCATTTCCCTGCCATTGTGCCCTTGGTCCTTGTGCCCTGTCACGTATCAAGTCTCCGGTTGGTTTCATTAACTTTGATGCAGGCTCAGTTGCTGGGTGTAGTGACCAGGGCCTGGATGGGGTCAGTGTCCTATTATACAGATAGACGGTATTGACCAGCCGATTGGGGGTCACCCCGAATTCGGGGAGTATCTCACTTAACCATTTCCCTGCCATTGTGCCCTTGGTCCTTGTGCCCTGTCACGTATCAAGTCTCCGGTTGGTTTCATTAACTTTGATGCAGGCTCAGTTGCTGGGTGTAGTGACCAGGGCCTGGATGGGGTCAGTGTCCTATTATACAGATAGACGATCCAGTCCGGTGGGTACTTCTGGCCTTAAACTCCAGGACTCTGAGTCTATGAGAAGGCTCAAAGGGGGCAACACTGGACACAGTGCTACCCAAGTGTAACAAGGGGGAAACCGAGGCACGGGGAAGTGACTTTCCCAAGGGCACCCAACAGGCCAGTGGCAGAGCTGGGAACTGATCTGACCTCTCCTGGGTGGCAGCCCCAAGTCGTATCCACTAGGTCACACTGCCTCCCTGGCAGCTGGAAGAATTTCCAGAAAATCTGTGTTTCCACAAAGCAAGAGGGCTCCAAAACAGCTGCTCCCAGGGGGTGAGTTACTCGTGGTCTTGGCTTGTCGCGCGAGTGGCAGCCCCAAGTCGTATCCACTAGGTCACACTGCCTCCCTGGCAGCTGGAAGAATTTCCAGAAAATCTGTGTTTCCACAAAGCAAGAGGGCTCCAAAACAGCTGCTCCCAGGGGGTGAGTTACTCGTGGTCTTGGCTTGTCGCGCGAGCCCCACTGAGTCGAACTGGCCCCCAAAGGCCCCTCCGGGCTGCG